CCATTCTAAGGACTTTTTGTCACATTCTGTTACCTGTCCCATCTCAGGAAGTAATCTATACATCTCCCTACTTTTCTGTTGATGTAAGACTTTTTTTCCTTCAAGTTAAGGAGTCTTTTGATGATTTTGCATGATCTCAACTCTTTATGGTATTCCACATCAAGTCGGTTCTCAGCCATGAATTTGTCTAATAGCTTCTGCATGGTTACAGATGCTTTTCACCATTTTGATTAATTGTATATTTTATGGTGCTTTTCTAAATAGCTTTTTGAAGATGGAATTAAAATTTGCAGATTAACAGCTGAAAACCATACCTTCACCTAGCAGATGGTATGTGTCTTCTAAAATCAAAAACTAATAGGAAAAACACAGATTGATGTTTTTGATACCAATAGGATTTTTGTGTAAGTTTTGTCTGTGGTGGAAGTCATTGTGTACTATTTTTGCGTCATTCTGTTTTGACTCCTGAATAGCAGAGCTATGGGTAAGCTGTATGACCTGAAGCATTCCTTAGACTCCCTTCAATTAAATCAGTTCTGAAAGCGTCAAATAAAAGAGGTAATAATTCTAGACAGGAGCAAAGAAATGTCTGAGCTTAAGATCTACACCTCTAATTAAGAGAATGTCTTCAGATACACAGACAGACAGCCCCGCAGTTTTAGAAGCAGATAGGTCTACTTTAGCCTGCTCAGATGGACCTCAGAGGGGCTAACCCCCATCAGTCATTGTGCACATTGGTGGGGTTTTGTTTTTGTTTTGGTTTTTGGTCCACTTGGTGGCCATCTTAGTTGATGTTCTTTTATAAAAGACTTTTTTCCTTTTCTTGGAGTCAGGCTTGCTCCCTTACTGAACCTCAGTCTTGAGTTCTTTCTCTGTACTCTGCTTTTGTAGCATATTGCCATTGGGTGAGGGTGTTTCCTTTGGTATCTTTTGGTAGCTGAACTAGAGCTGTATGCAGATTCAGCTCAGACTTGACTCCGCCTGGTTCTGCTGCAGAGCTCATGTCACCATGCTGACATTCCTTCAGCCGTAAGTTAAAATAAGTCACCGTGAAATCACTGCTTTCTATCCGGTTACTGAATGAACAGCAGAACGACACATAATTATGTAGTTCAACATGAATTGAGCCTATTTCAGCACTATTTCAGGCATGGTAAAGCAGGCACTCTTTGGCAGTAGCCAAATGTTAGTGTTACTCTCAGTGCCATTTAATGTGATTCAGACTGAGGGCTAGAGAAACTGTACCACCAGCAGAAGTTTTGGACTTGGGTATCAACTGTGGACTTTTAGGAAAATTCTGCTCAGTTTCCAACACTTGAAATACTCTTTTCCTGAAATTGCCACCTCTCCTTCATCTTCCTGTGTCCTGATTTAGTTAGTCTGTAGTTGACATTACTTCCTACGTGGAGAAGATGGCAGCCTCATTAAGGCAGTCCTGGGAATAATGGGAAATGGACAGCTCCAAAAGACACTTAAAACACAGCGTCTAGACCCTAGGGCTGCGATTCAAGCCACGCCCTGCACCTCTGGCCCTTTTCACTCACCTCTGACAGGTCACTGGATAACAGATATCATTGAGTTTTCACAAGTCCAGTTTGACTGATTTGGGGCCTTACTTGATTAGTATTACCAAACAGATAAATCTTGTCTGACTCCAGATAATATCAGCAACTGAGCTGAAGTGAGTAATGGCTGGTTCAGGCCAACATGACAACTTTCCTGTGTTTTGTTTAGCTTTCTAGCCTTTGGTTTTTCCCCTTGATTAATATCTGCATTATCCTGCTCATCCTGTGGATAAGAGAGGCCGCTCACTGGGTAATTGGCTCCCATCCTTGCTGACATCTTCCTATTAGTTACTTTTGCCCATCACTGTGCAGTCACCTCTGTTATATTTTTGGAGAGGAACATGATAACCTCCCTTAGAAACTTTTTGGTCGAATAGAAAGGTGCTAAATAAAGTCTGAATAAGCTATAGTCTTGTTAGTTACAAAACATTGAAATTGTCCTTTCCTTTTGCTCTCTGGACATAGCACAGTTAGGTGAACCTTTTTATTTCTGGCTGTGTGTCTCTAATACCCTTTGGATCCTGTCTCTCTAAGATGAGAATTCTTGAATCTGGGTTGCAGCTGAGTTGTATCTGATCAGCTGAACATAAACAAAGGAGTATGCAGATTGCTTTTCAGTTTCTCTTACATGGTTTTGAATAAAATTGACAGGCAGCACGGTGGGGGTGGGAGGAGTACATTTAGGTCTTGTCCAGCTATGATAACATTCATATAAAACTCAAAGATAATAAGAATGAAATCTAAGAAAGTAAAGACGATACTTGGGCTTTATTTCTTTTGGAAATAGCACCATCAGTGAGTGACTTTTTTCAATGCCTTTTATTGAAGTTAGCATGTTTGATGATACTGCTGTTTTTGTTTTTCTTTCTCACCATTGAGTGCCAACTAGGTCCATTAAGAATTCCATCTCTTTCAAGCTTGGGTTGTAAGACAGGCCAGAAGGGAAGAGGATGGTTGAGGAGAGAATGTGTAAGCCCATCAGAAAGTCATAAAACCAGATCACACATTAGGATAAATAAGACATTTTGCATCATTTCCTTCTCTAGAAAGGGTTCTTCTTTCTGCTCAAGTTCTAGCTACCTTTTTAATTCAGGATTTAGCTCCAAAGTCATTTCTGAACAGATAAATCTTGTCTGATTCCAAATAATAGTTAAATCTCTAAGGCAGTGGTTTTCAACCTTGTTTATACATTAGAATCGTTAGGGGAGCTTGTTAAAATTCTGATGCCCAGATTACACCCCAGAACAATTAAACCACTATCACTGGGATTGAGGCTTAGGCATCAGTATTTTTAAAAATTCCTCCCCCCAACCCCCCATACACACACAGGTGATTGATTCCATTGTGTATCTAAGGTTGAAAACCACAGTTATTGAAACACAACTGAAATCGTTATTAGTACTCTTTAAAAGTTTGAATCTTACTCTAAGAAACCTCTAGGCTTTTATGAAGGAGAAATCGAAAACTAAAGACCTCCATAACCAGCTTTCCTTTGCAAATTTTCTATGATTTTTTTTACACATATCTACCCTGTGCTCCAGTCTAAGTGGACTACTCATTCTTCTTGGTCATCTTTTATTCCTGTTTTTTCATCCTTTGTTCATGCTATTTAAGAAATAACCTCCCCCATTTTTACTTTTTATAATCTCACACTACCACCTCCGTCTTTGAGGCTTCTTTTCATTTATCCTTCAGCCAAAACGAAACTCTTCCCTTCAAAACTTTGCTTTTTTGCCTTAGTATATTCTGTATGGTTTTGCATTCATGTTTTATTTTTTTTTCTGCCAGTTTGCAAAGCCTGGGTCTCACTCATCTATATGTCCCCATCATGACCTGGCATCTTTACACTCCCTGTAATGCCTTGTGTCCAGCAAACGTTATGTATGTGTGCATTTGAATGAAAAGAATCTCATTCTTTTCAGATGTCATACTGCAGATGTGTGCTCTTCTAGAACCAGGGAGAAAACAGATGTATCTTTTCTGTTTGCTGTCATACTTTCCAGTGATTGGAATTCTTAGTTGTGAAAACCTTTTTATCTGTCTATACCTGTGATTTTTCATCCCATGTCCAACCATTAAATAATCCTCAGGAACCAGATTCTGGAAATGTTGGCTCTTTGAGGTTTGGAGTGCTCTGTAGCTTAGTGCAGCAGAGCGTGCTTCTTCACGCCAGTTATGAAGCACCTGCATGGTTTTTTTTTTCAGTCACAGTGGTAACAAAATTTTGTCACATATTCCATTATTTTTCCATATCTATTATTTTTTCGAACTTGGCAACCCAGTTTTATATATCTGTTCATTGAGATGATAATAAATCCTCTTTCTCAAATCCTGAAGACAAATACAGTTTTGTTTTTTAACACAACCACAGCACATAGATCTCCAAGTTTCCACCACTAAATAACAATAAAGGATATAGTGTTCTGTAGAGCAGACAAGGCACCTGGTGATTTCAGAGAGGATTTTTAGATGCACAGTGAGAACTAGGGAAGAGGCAGTGTGGAATTGTAGCACAAAAAAGTGGTGTTTGCTTTTTAAATCGCACGGTTGGTTGTGTGTGTGTTTTATGTTTCTCCATGCTAGCTATTTTCAGCTTCAGTTCTTCTTTAATGCTTTTGTCATGGACTTCAGGGTGAATTATATCAGAGCCCTAAGGGAAAAAAGGCAAGACTAAGGCCATGTGAAATTATTTTCCTGTCACCTAGCTAATTAAGTTAGTCTAATTCTCCAAGAGTTATTAGCTTCCTTTTAAACGATCCCCTCCAGATAAATCACAGCATTTCTCCTTAGTTGTATCAACCGTGAGAGATTTAAAGCTTGCATGCCTTCCCGCTTCCTCCCCAGGTAGGATATCTTCCTAACCCAGCTGTTTTCTTTCTTTGGAGAATTCTAAACTAAAAATCACTCTTGTTCCAGCTGTAATTTTTGAAGCTTGAAATTGCAGCTCAATACTGGTTTGGTTCCCACTTTTGCAGTGGGGCAGCAAGTTTTGTAGATCAAAGCACATTTTAGTTTTTCTTTGCTTTTCTTTATTTTTCCCCCTTAAATTTCCTTTTAAAGAAAAAAATAAAACATATTCAAAATATTACTACTTGAAGATAGAGCTTCTCGGAACATGTCAACACTTTAAATCCTGTTTAGGTTTGTGCCTATGTACCCCAGTGGAAAGGTTGGATCTGAAACATCCCTGAGATGTCCCAGCTCCATATTCTTTCCAAGATTTTTCAAAACTCCCACACACTAACACTTCCCCTACTTGGTTCCCCTAGGATGTATTTCTTTGCAGTCTAGAATTTCTTTAGGCTTTGGGAGTTAAGTTGAATAGCATGTGTTCCCAGCAACTTGGTAGAGCAATTTACAGGTTCTGTACGGGCATCTAGTACTTAGCTAAATGAACTCTACCTCTCTCTCCTCTCTCTCCTTTCTCTCTTTCAGCTTGGCAGTGACCTTGGCGGGGGCATTGGAGGAAGTCCGGCAGTAAGTGCCATCCGTTTTTTTCACCATGGGATGCGCTGCCCCTGTTTGATGCTTTTCCTATGCACACATTCTCAGACCAGCCACCGCTGCTGTCTAGCACTGTTCACCAGAACCTCTCGAGCAGTCTATGAAGAGTAGCGTAGGGTTACTTGGAATCTTTGGGATCACACACCACATGTGGTGTAGGGGTGTCTTTAGGGACTGGCGCTCTGGTGTCTACAGAGATCTTTGTCTTCCTGACATGAAAGAGCTAAAGGAAATGGAACCTGCCATCTTGACTAGAGAATGCTCTTGTTCTCTACTGTCGTCTAGAAAGAACTTGAGAGTCAGCTGGACTCAGAGTGAGACTCTCCTCGTAAGTGAGTGACGGGGGTGTGAATATCCATCTCCCACAGGAGAGTTTCCTACTAGATATTTATGCCTGAATGGGGAACTAAGACTTGCCTGGACCCACGTGGAAGTGGAATTGCTGTCTAAGTTGGATGCTTCTCCTTCTTTCTGTAGAGACAAACCTCCCCTTCGTTAGGGTACTTGTAGGCCTTTTGCACAGAATCATGGAAGCTAAAATTGGAAACAAATGGAAAAAATCTTGGATCACTGTGTTCCTGATCCTACTGATTACTCTCTCTTGATAGAACTTCTGAAGAGTGTGTGTATCTTTTCAGTGATGAAAAATAACCATGATGATAAAAAGGACAAAGAATATACGAATTTAACTCCTAAAAATATTGTAATTATGGTGTGTTCTTACCAATTTGTCAATTCTGTTAAAATATATGGCAACATTTTAAGGACTGTTAATCTGTTCTTCCTGATCTCCTCGCCCCCCTTTCCCTTTTCTCCCCTGCAGGTGGGACAGTCCTTCATCCCATCATCAGTGCCTGCAACCTTTGCTCCTTCACCTACTCCTGCTGTGGTCAGCAGTGGTCTGAATGACCTGTTTGAACTCTCCACAGGAATAGGCATGGCACCTGGTGGATATGTGGCTCCTAAGGCTGTAAGTAAAGCAATACTTTCTTAGTGGACAGGACCTGAATTACATTATGTTAGCATCTAACATTTGTGTTATTTCCACTGATAATAAATCCAAGGTTAGGGCCCTTTTTCTGGAGGATTTGAGAGGAAGATAAAAGGTGGCTTCAAACCTAGCAATAAGAAGCACCATAGTGTCCCTTTTAACCATTCTTAGAATTAGACTTAAAATTGGAAATATTAAATATTTGAGTTTTGTTCTCTTATTTAGAAATACTGTCTAGCTTGTCAGCACTGACATCAGTCTAGTGTAGGTCTGATATAAGTGCAGCAGCAGGAGGAAAAGACAGAGAACTAGAGAGAAGTAACATTTTACTTTGCATCCCTTCCACTCTCCTTTTTCCATTGGTATTGCCTCTGAATTATAGAGTGCCATTGCCCAGATTTGGTTTTCATGGGTGTTAGTGCACAGAGTTTTGATTTACGTTCGTGTCATTGGTTCCCTTCTAGTCTCAGCTTTGCTTGCTGTCTCTTGCTCAGATAGAAATTCAAATAGGGAAACTCCCTGTAAGTGAAGCCTGCTTGGGAATAGTGCCTTCTAGGCTAGGCTAGATTTCTTGTAATCTTGCCTTTCTGAGGGACAACATGCATGGTTGCTTCCTGAATTCTCTGCCTGCTCATCTGACTCTGCTGCAGATATGTAGATCAGTTCTCCACTCCAGTAGTCTCTGTGTACACAGCCATTATGTAGAGTAACCAAAAAATATTATTCAAACTGAGCCATAGTGTTTTGCCACAACTTGGTAGCTTTGTTGTAAGGTTACTATGTTGGATGTTATCCCCACAGATTTTTAATTATTGATTAAAAGATAACTAGTTTACTTGTTTACTAACATTAACGTAGTACGTAGCACAGGGAACTATATTCAATATCTTGTAATAATCTTTACTGAAAAAGAATATGAAAATGGATATATGTATACATATGCATGACTGAGACATTATGCTGTACACCAGAAATTAACACATTATAACTGACTACACTTCAATTTAAAAAAACATAGTAATACAAATGGCAAATTTAAATAATGTAGAACTATCAGGTGCGAAATTGTCTCTCTCTGTCCCAGCTTCCTCATAGGTAGCTTCTATTAACTTTCTTCTGTGTCCTTTCAGAAGAAGAAAAAAAGATCATGCATACACCTATATGTTTATATCCCTTAAAAATGCTGTCAGTGGGCTGCAGTGTTCTGCACCTTGTTTTTTCTCTGCCGCATTCTTTTGAATGGCTGTACCCCCTGTATTGATGTACCACAACTTATTTAATCATTCTCTTGATGGTGGACATTTAGGTCCCTTGCCCTGCCCTCTGCCTCCTTATTTGTTATTGTGATGTTACCATAAACATTCTTGTTTAATATATATCATGGTATATTTTTTGTAAGTGTATCTATGGGATAGACTTGCAATGTGCTTTGTCCTTTAAATGTTTTAAAATAGACATTACCAACTTACTTTTCAAAAAGGTAACATGAAATTACATTCCCCAAAACAGAATGTAACAGTGCCAGAGTCCTTGTATTCTCCTTCATTGAGTATCCTGACTTTTTGAATTTTTGACTCTCTGATGGATGAGAGTTGTATCTTGTGGTTACTTGATTTCTTTTCTTTTCTTTTTTTTTTCTTTCCAGTGTAGCTGAGTATCTTCTCACATTTATTAACCACCCACTGACTCTTGGGTATTCTGTCTTTAAGTAGTCAGGACAGTTCATGAATTCCCAATTTTTTATTTTTAATAAACTGGGGCAGTCCAGGAGTATCACAGGTTCTAAGACCAGGGGTAAGTTATGGGTGAATTATAGAGAGAGGGAATAGGTGTCCAGAGCGCTTAAGCAGCGTCTGAATGCTTACTCTTTATCAGAAACTTTATCAAGAGTTTAAAATATACATAATTCAAAGTCCTTACCTGTCATAGGTTACTGATAATGATTTTGGTAATGATTTTTAAGCCTTTCAATATTATAGACATGCTATTTTTGTTAGTAGATTCTGTTTTTTTCCCTTTTAAGCTTTTTATCAAAGCTACTAACCAAAAAAACCCTGAAATTATACTCATTGCAATTTCTCCTTTTGCCAGAGTTACCCACAGACTTTCAGATTTTGTGTTCGTTTTGGGGTTTTTTGTTTGTTTGTTTTGGTTCTTAGATAATTGAGAGTGAGCTCAAAATTCAGCAAATAAGACTTTATCCAGAAACATTTGCACCTGGCTTGGTACTTATGGTATAAAAATCACCTTAATTTTTGCCTAAGGAAGTGAAGTCTTAATTTCATCTTTATTCCAAAACAAATAGCATCGAGGTGAATCCTGTCTGGTTCCATTGGGCTCTGTACTGTGTTTCAGGTCTGGCTGCCTGCAGTAAAGGCTAAAGGCTTGGAGATTTCAGGAACATTTACTCACCGCCAAGGGCACATCTATATGGAAATGAATTTCACCAACAAAGCTCTGCAGCACATGACAGACTTTGCGATCCAGTTTAACAAGAATAGGTAAGAAATTTGAGTTCCCCAGCTGGATCCTGAGACAGTTGTGTACTTTGTGTCCAACAAGAGAGGGTTCCCCTTAGCTAAGGGAAAACTCCCACGTTGGCGGATGCTCGGTGTAGAGTGAGCACAGGCTCTTGCGTGTCTCTCCAGTGTCCACTTCAGTTCTGGATGCCCGAGGGAATTTTGTTCAGAAACTCATCCAGAGAGAATAAGGAAACCAGAACTTTCACTGCCTTTTTAAAGGATTCTAGGAATATAATGTCTTCATTAAAAGTTTTCCCCTCAAAACTTTTTTATTTGAAATTGATTTATCCATTTAACAAATAATTGTTTAGCATCTGAGTGCCAGTCATTTCTTAGTACTGAAGATAGAGTAGTGAACCAAGCAAATGTGTGTCCAGAGCTCACCGTTTGCTGAGGAAAAAAATGAATGTACTTTGGCTGGTGTCAAAACTGTGGAAGAGAGTATACCTGAATAATCACATATAGGCTGACAGTCTGCTTTTAGCAGTGAATTCTCTGCCCTAATACGGAAGAGAATAATGACAAATGAAAGCTTATTCTCTTTCCAGCCTCTTGCCTTCTTTTCCTCTCATTTTTGTCAGTTGTATCATTTCTGTGTTTCATTCTTTCATTTTTATCCCCACCTTTGTTGCTGCCAGTCCTTTTTGTTTACATTTCACTGTCATTTCTTGCATGCCTTCTACTAGTTTCCTCAAAAGGGGCTTAACAATCCTTGAATTCTTATATGATCAAAACTGCGACTTACATGCTTGAAAATTCTTCACTCACTCTTTTACTCCAAAGTCTTTTGTCATTTAATATTCTGTAAGAAAAGTTGCCAGCCTAATTCTTCCCCATCTAAGTGATACGATTATTTTGTCTGGCTGCCCGAAGTTTTGGAGTCCAGTAATTTTATTAGGATATTCCCAGTGTTGACCAATCTTGGTCAATTTTTTCCTGAAATAAGGTGTGCCTTTCAGTATGTTCATTGAAGTTTTGTGTTTCAGGAAAGTTTTCAGGGTTTATATGTTTAAACTTTAGTATTATTCTGTTGGTTAGATTTTCATCTTTGAAGAATTATGTATTTATTGGCTCTTCTTTGTCTATCTTTTATATATACTATTTCCTCTAAAACTTTTTTAAATATTAGAAAATTTAAAATATGTAAATATTACAGTATGTATCTCATGGTCTTTTTTTTTTTTTACCATAACCACAATGCTGTCATACTAAAAAATCCTTAAATATTTTTAAATCCTTTAATATCATTAAACATCCAATCAGTGGATTATCAAAGTTCTCTAGTGTTTTTGTCCAGTTTGTTTTATCTGAACAGGGTCCCAATGATGCCCCATGAAATTTATTTGTAGAAGAAATTAGATCTTTTATCTGTGGTGTTTCCCACAATCTAGATTTTGCTGATTATATCTGTAAATTGGAGGCAGATCTCTAGGCTTAAGTAGATTTATTAGACTTGATCTTCTAACAAGAGTGCTTCATCTGTGGTGATGATCTTTCTCTCTCATTTCTGTTTTATTTTACCTGCTTTTTCTCATTTTATTTTGTGTCTCTTACTGTGTTGACTGTTCTTCTTGTTCTTTGTAGCATTGTCTCTGCTGGTATAATCGTGCCTTTTCAATAATATTTTGTAAATGAAATCATGTAGTATGGAGTCTTTTGCATCTGGTTTCTTTTGCTTAGTGTTAATGCTTTGAGATGTGTCAGTGGTCTGTTCTGTTTTATTGTTGAGTAGTATTCCACCAGTGCCTATACCACTATTTGTTAACTCTTTCACCCCTTGGTGGAGTTGGGGATTGTTTCCAGTTTTATCTTTTTTTAATGGTGAAAGCTCCTATTCATGTCCAGGTCTTTCTGTGGATACACGTTTTCCTTTTTTTCTGGATGAGTACCTAGCAGTGGTATTGCTGGGTCATTTGGTAAGTGTGAGAGTTCCAGCTGTTCCATATCCATACCGATTTTACCCATTCTTAGGAATGTATAGTAGTATCTCATTTTAATTTGCATTTCCCTGATGACTAATGAGCATTTTTTTTCCATAATCTTATTGATCATTCTTATATTTTCTTTGGTGAAATATCTGTTCATATCTTTTTTTTGTTTGTCTTACTATCAAGTAATAAAATTCTTTATATATTGTGTGTACAAGTCCTTTGTCAAATATGTTTTCCAGATATTTTCTCTCAGTCTATGGGTTTGCCTTTATTTTCTTAACAGTCTTTCAAAAAAACAAGTTTTGGGGGGTTAAAGTTTTATTTTATAATTTTTTGCTTTTTATGTTTTATCTAATAAATCACAGTTACAATTTTTTAATAGAAATATTACAGATTGAACTCCTACATTTACTTTTATAATTCATTTTGTGATAATTTTGATAGTATGATGTAAGAGTCAAAGTAAATTTTTTTTCCATTGTAAATCTTGAAATCAGATAGTATAAATGTTTCAACTTTGTTCTTTTTCAAATATCATTTTGGCTGTTGTTGGTCCTTTGCTGGGATTTTGCTTGAGAGTGCAATGAACATGTAGATCAGTTTGGGAGAGAACTGACATCAAACAATATTGAGTCTTCTAATCCATCAGCATGGCGTATCCATTTATCTAGGTCATATTTAACTTCTCTCTGCAGTGTTTTATAATTTTTCATGTACAGATCTTGCACATCTTTTGTCAGATTTATTAAGTACTTCATAGTTTTGATGTTATAGTAAATAGCATTTTGTAATTTTAAGTTTTGACTGTTGCTAGCATATAGAAATATAATTGATTTTTGTACATTAAACTTGTATCCTGCAACTTTATTAAACTCACATATTAGTTCTAGTAGCCTTTTTATAGTTTCCTTATGGTTTTCTACATAGATAAATCGTAAGAGCAAGATCAAAAGGGCAGGATGATTTTTTTGACCCATAAATGTTAACACCAGAATGAGTGATGTGTGTTCTCAGGGTCATTTCATTATTACATTTGGGTGCTAAAATACAGTTTATCTAGGAAAAGAAAAATGTTTCTTCTGCCATTCTGTGGCTTTTGAAATTTATACTGCCTATATAAACTCTATAGTTATTTTATAAATATTATAATCCCATCTTCCTTCCCGAGGCTAATTAGAACATAAATTCAATATAAATTTATATCATTAATTTGTTTATTTATACATCTATGGGCCCACTTTTCCCTTTCTGCTCCATCTTTTTGAAATTAAGACAGAAGACATATCTGCCCTCCCTCATACATTTTTGTTTCTTATTTAACTTCAAACCCATGCATTTCCCATCTCTTTACTATTCTTGTATTATTATTAGACAGGCTTCTCTGAGAAGTCTAATGAGTACTTAGCCTGCCTTAGGCTAAGAAAGTGGCCATGTTTGGGTCTACAGCCTGTCCTTTGGAATGTTCAGAATGTTTAAGCCAGTCAATTCTGCTTTATTTAGACTGACTCTTTACTGATGTGATGGATCTTATGTAAGTGGGGGGTCGGGGACTGGACAGACAGAAAATGAGAGTTACCTGGAAATAATCCTCTGAACTAACTGGGCAGGTTATCGACCTAATGAAATAATATTATTGTACTTTACAGGGTGAGTATTCTTAGAGTATTCTTTCTCCCAAGGATTATCTAAAGAAAGATGTATGTAAAAAAAGAGACTTACCAAACCTGTCCCTCCAGTGGCATGATAAACAAAAGAAACTTTCAGAATTTAGAACAGTAGCAAATCATTCTATGCTTATGGATGTTTTCTCCTTCCACAAATCCATTTAATGGAAAATAGAGGTTATATTGTAACCAATGTTACAGCACATTAGAATTGAGCACTTTAGTTCCTTCTATTTCTTCCGTTTAATTTTATTAAGAATTATGTTTCCTCCAAATGGAGTAAAAAGCTGTTGAAACCTGAAGATATGGCTAAATCCTGTCTCTTGATTAACCTCTGGGATTTCTTCATCCTCCCTCATAGCTTTGGTGTCATCCCCAGCACTCCTCTGGCCATCCATACACCACTGATGCCAAACCAGAGCATTGACGTCTCCCTGCCTCTCAACACCTTGGGCCCAGTCATGAAGATGGAGCCTCTGAACAACCTGCAGGTTAGACTTCTATTTCACTCGGGGTACAGGTTGATATCTTGAGAATTTAATTTTGTTTATAAGGAAAACAGCCTCTCTCTCTTACATTAGATTTGGTCATAGAATCGGGTTTGAAATAACTCTCTGGAGAAGACTTTTATTTTTCATTAAGAAAAAAATCACAGGAGTCAGTCATGCATTGACGGAGAAAGTTATCCTCCTTTCTTTTACTCAACAAACACTGAGAAACTTTTAAAGATCTTATTTACAAACTTTTTTTCCTTAAAACACTTCCATAGGGAATTTGAATGTCAGAGAATAGATTTCAGTAGAGATCTGTAGAGGTTTGAACACACAACCATAAATAGTTGGGTTATCTGAACTTAAATAATTAGCCCATGTATAAGTGCAGAAAAGTACAGCACGTCTTAGAGGAGCTCAGAACTATGTCAGGTCTGCAAGAGCCTCCTGATCTTGAAAATACTGGATTTTTAGAATGCTTAAGTATGAGCTTTAGAGTTTCATTCCATTTTCTCCACTTTGAATTTCTCTGTGAAATGTAAGCCTTCTAGGATTCAAGAAACATGAGGGCAGAGCTATAAGCATGTAAGCTGAAGGGATATGAATATAGATATAAGCCCTAGGAGCTGGGGGTTTTAATGCTCACAAGGCCAGGGGCGACAGCCGTGGGCCAGCCTGAGATGAGGAACTGTAACCAATCTCTGAATAAAACTGAGACCCTGGAAGGACAACTCCCTCAATGAAAGGGGAACTAGAAAAATATTTGCATAAGGACAAGCAATGAGAGAGTTTTCTCTCTGACCAGGGTTCTGAATGGCCTCTTCTGAGAAAGTCAGGGCCCAAATTTGTACTAACTATGTAGGTACAGAATTCTCCAAACCAATAAATTAATGTAAAATGGAGCCAGGACTGATGAAACCTAGGGTACCTGGAAGGGGTACATGCAAAGCAGCCCTTTTGCAACAGTTCTAAACTTCAAGACCATAAAGACTCCCAGCTGAAAAGAAAATCCCTACTGAAAGTGAGTTCATAATTTAATGGGGAAGGCGGGGAGGGATGCACTGTGGAGGACAATCAGAAGGCACAACAAAGATTATCGATGTTCCCCTTCTACTGAGAACTTGAAATGATAGAATGGTCTGAATGAAACTGTAAAATTTGTTTTAAATGACACGAGAAAAATACCTGTCTTCCACTTTCTAATCAAAACAGGTGGGATCCCATTGCTCAATCTGCTGGAAATACCAGTGTAGGGTACCTAGTACTCATGGTGAGACATCAGCTATAAAATTACTTGGAGTTAAAATTAATATTCTCCAGGAGTTTAAATACCAGTGCACCGAGCCTGCTTGCCAGTTGACTAACTACCTTTTTGCCACACTAGTTGACTGCCTCTTTTTCAGCAAAGGGTGTCATGACTTAGAGTGATGATGAGTGAGTCACAGTATGACTTGGCTCAGACTAGAAGAACAAAACAAGGATTACTGTGCAGAAGGAATTGGCTGTTACTATGATGAGAGTAATGTGTGAAGGGGCTTTTCCAGCACAGAATCCTAAAGTAACTAACTAACCCAAATCTACATCTGCTCTCTTTTCATTGGAATCTAACCTCCTGTTGGCCCACAGAGCCTCAAGCTTAATATTTGAGGACAGTCAGCATGAGTGTGAGAATGCTTTACTTTAGAAGTAGGAAAGGGAATTTGGGTCACAGAAACCAGGCCAAATTTTCTGCTCTTAAAACAGAAAGGAAACAGTAAATAAATAAATGTCAGTTTAGTTTCCTGTTTGCATTTCCATTTCATATTCAGTGAAATAAACATCCCTAATAGGAACTCTTTCATAAGAAAAGTTGATACTCTCTCAAAAGTATGGATATGGTATTAGGACCAGCAAGTTTTCGTTTTCACAAACCTGACATTATTTTAAAAACAAGCTTAAAAATGTTCCATCTAAACAGAGTTTAACAAAGCATCTCAGCTTTTCTAGGAAAAAAAGAAAATTCCATCTGTAGTCAACTACTGATTCTCCAAGTTTTCCCCACGGTTTCCTTTCTTTCAAGGATGTCATAATTGTGGCTGTTGTTCTCATTAATTGGTATTTCCCAATGGAGAATATAAGCAAAAACTTCAGAAAAGATAAACTTTCTTTCCTCCTGTGAGCAGCTCTATTTAATGTCTGCTGGTGAAACTAATAGCTAGCTTAAGGTGGGTGGGTTACTTCAGATTTCAGCTTCCATTCTGCTCTTGTCCCAGTATGAACAAGCTTAGGCCATAAAGGTCTAGATAAAACCAGGTAAAGATTTGTAGGAAATGCTCATGTAGGAAAAATTAGTACTTTTCTCATAATTCAGACCATCAAATCAGGGGGTGGGGTGGGGATGAGGGTTGAGGAAATGAAATTTTGAATGCAGTGTAGGTTTTAGCTGTTTGGGCTAATTCGCTGTCAATATATAGGACAAATAAATCAAACCTAGCTGCCAGAATTGTAATGAAACATTTGGTACAAAAACTTCATTAAAATGTTCATCAAATTACTTACAGACTTATAGTCTATTTGAAACATTACTGAAAGGTTAAAAAGACACTGTTCCCTCTTAAAATGTAAAATAGATTATACCTTAGAGACAAGAATTAAATACCTAGCAGAGATTTGAACCTAGAACATTTTTCTACTGTTCTAATAATGTTGGCTGTAAAAGCCTTTGTGAATCCAACTTATAAATATTACACAAAGTAAAGTTTAGCTCGCCCCCATTGGGAGCTTCTCTTGAGTTTATTTATATTATATAATTATATTCCTTTAAAACAGAGAATTGATTCTATTTAAATAAAACAAAAACCTTACCAAATGTCTAAATGAATTATCTCTAAATGAAGTTTTCTCTAACTCTGATATCCTTGTTTTTCATTTCATCTGTGTTAGTTGCTTAGAAACATTTTTACAATATACTCCTTTAAACTTGACGCCTGGCAGGTGACTGCTTCTTCAAGTCAGTATCTGCAGGAGGACAGTAGAATTAGGACACAACGTGTGTCCCCCCAGTCCTTGCATAGATGCTGTAGAGTTCTCACAGCTGCTCGGCCTCCTTTTTCGCTGGGCTGTAAACTCTTACGAGAATGTTGATAGCACTGTTCTTTCAAGATTTAATTTTATCAGGATTATAAAAATATATTAGAGTCCACCAGTTCTATAGTTAATTAAGAAAAACCCAGCCCCCGCCTTCTCTCCCCAACATGGCCCCCAATTCCTCCTTCCACAGAGTCACTCTCTCTTGCAGTTTTTAGTTGATACCTTTTATACTCCTCTATGTCTAAATAGCAATCTTGTGTTGCAACTTCTGGATTTTTCCATTTTGGGTATTCCTTTCCATCTCCCCACTTATGACCATCGTCTGCATGCATATTTCCTATCTTCCTATTTTCCTGCTAGAGCTGTCTTATCATTTGCTTTAATCAGGATTATTTACATTATTAAGACCCTGTAGCCTGTAGATAACTTGTCAGAGCTGAGCTACATAGTGTGATTATTTTTTTTGTCCATAAAACTTCTTGTAAATATTTGAATACTTACCTATTAATACTTGTCTCTCTTTGTTTGCCTAATTTTTTGTGTTAACTGTAATTCATTCCCAAATTCCAGTGAAATCAGACCCTTCAGAACAGTCTTACCCGTTTCGCTTTCTTTAAGTCTCCTCTTGGAGTCTTGACCTGCTCCAGGCTGGACTGGTTTTCTTGAACACCTGAAGTTGTTCTGGGATTTTCATCATCGCTCTGGTGCTTCATTCCCTTCACCTCTCTTCGCTGTTGGATCTCCTACTGTATTTCTTTTTCCCCTTGATTTACTCCTTCATTTTGATGAAAAACATCTCCCAGTAGTTTCCTGAGACTAGGTATGTAGAGAATAAAGCTTTGAGACCTCGCATGTTTTAAAATGTCTTTTTTATCTTCATACTTGTTTGATGGCTTCTGTATATCATTCTAGGTGATAAACCATTTCCCTCATAGCCTGGAACCATTCTGATTCTCTTTTTTTTAACATTTTTTATTGATTTATAATCATTTTACATCATTTTGATTCTTAATGTTTTTCTGTGCCATGTTCTTTCTCAATGAGAACTTACATGATCTTCTCTTTATCCCTTGTGTTCTGAAATTTCACAGCGATGTGCGTTGGTGTGTGAGTCCCTTCTCACCTGTTGTGTGAGGTATACTTACTGAGCTCTTTGAACGTGGAAACTTGAATCCTTCAATTCTGGGAATTTTTCTCTCTTTTATAGCTCTCCCTTCATTTTCTCTTTTTTATTGGAAGTCTTGCTATTTCAATGTTGACCCTCTTGGACCAGCCTGCCCATTTTTGACCTGTTTTCGATTTCTTTTCTTCTTTTGTTCTACTCTATAAAAACTTCTTATGAAAACATTTTAACTTTACAAAAGTAAACAATAGTGTAATGAGTCCCTGTATGCCCATCATCCAGCTTCAATAATTGTTAATCCGTAGTTAGAGTTGTTTCATTTCTACCACATCCCCTATTCACTGCCCAGCTTCATATTATTTTGAAGCAAATCTTAGACATTTATATCATTCCATCTATAAATATTTTAATATATGTCTTTAAAACACAAAAAGGTCTCTTTTTAAAATCATAACCACAGTAACTATTGTACAAGTTAAAAAATTAACAAGAATTCTTTAACATGAAGTATACATTCAGTGTTCAAGTTCCTGGTTATCTCAGTATCTTAACCTTTGTTTTTCTTATTTCTGCTTGTTTGAATCAGTAAAGTGCACATATTATAATGGGTTGACATATCTCATAAGTCCCCTTAGCTGTACTGTTCAATATGATAGCCACTAGTCACATGTGGCTATATAAATTGAAACTAATTAAAATTAAATAAAATTTAAAAATTCATTTCCTCAGGTGCCTTAGCCACATTTCAGCTGCTCACATGGCTGGTGGTTACCGGACTGAGCAGTGCAGAAGGAGACTGATTCCCTCA